TATTATAGTTGGTTTTCGTTTTTTTAAAAAGTACTCTAAACTGTATAAATAATGTAAAATTAAATTGAATTTATTAGTCAATCAGACAAACTGCTGCCTATGAGATTTAATGCAAATAAGGCCACACAAATCATAACATGAAATTTTTGATCTGACCCGGCCGGCTTTTTTATTTTAATTTTGCATATATAAATTTTATAAAATTTTTGAAAATTTTTTTTAAAAACCCACCCGGTTATTAAGACATAAAAAAAATTTTTATAAGCTTTTAAATTTTGACCCGGCCGGGTTATGAAAACCAATTAATTAATTTTGAATGGCCTAATTTATTTTATAGTATCCTAATCAAGAGTCTATTAATGAAAGCAAAATTAACAACCAAAATATATTTATTAGCCATTTAATAACCTGCTAATTTGATTGGATTTAAATAATTGGTTGACGACTTTGAAGTTGAGCTACCAGAGGAAATATTGGTAAATGCACTCAAATTGCTTAGCAGTGATTCTACTTTTAAAGGAAACTAAAAAAATACCATTATACGGCTTGAAGTTTGTATTAGAACATTAATGGCGACCTTAGAAAGAGTGCTATTTTCCAATTGTTTTAGGATTTGAAATTCGTGAACAGCTTTATAAAAATTCGAGTAACTTTGTATAAATTCATCAAGATGTAACAAATTACTTAAACAGGGAATCGATTTTGCTTTTAAATCGAAATAAAAATCTAAAAATACTCCTAACAATGACAATATTTATATGTATTTTCGAAATTATGATATTGATTTTTTATTGATTCACTTACGCGATACTTTACATAGTACACGCAACGATGAAACACGAATGCAGGAAATTTTACGACGCATTAAAGAGCTTTCCTTCATATTCATCCTAAAGCCGTGGATGTTACGTCTGGAAATATTCCAAGCACGCTTGGTGTTGTAGATATTTTATCAAGCCTTTGATTTCAAATATCCTATCACTTATTAGTATCCTATTTGGCTTGAGCTTTTGTCTATTCACGACTCGTTAGAAAGTTTAACCAAAGACGAACTTTATAGTATCTTAAGATTTTATAATGAAACCTATCTTGAAATAATCTGGCAACTTGTTTATAATTTGAGTATTGATCAAACTATTCAAAACGAGATTCTAGATAGTCAAATTGAATTTTTCGAATTTTTAAACATACAAACTAAAAAAGAACCAACAGCACCACCAAATTCATTATGGTTTGGAGTCCTAGATCTTGCTCAATGCTTAAGTCAAAAAATCAACACAACTTGCCAATTTAGCTCTTTGTTATTATTTAGGCTTGGAATAATTACAAAAATCTAAATGCATTTATATTAGTTTTAAGTCTTTAGAATTACTTTTACTATTATCTCATTATAAGCCAGAATGGTTTAAAGATATAGTAGAGGAAGAAATCAACAAATATTGAGAATCATTGTCGATATCTTCTCAATAAAAGCTTGATTACCTTATTCATGATGTTGATTTAAAGATTCAGCTAAACAGCGAATTCACAGAGCAATCAATTTTACAAAGGACTGAAATTCAAGTTGACAAACAGTTTAATAGTTTGCTAGAAAAAGTAATAGATGAACTTACTTGGCCAATAACCGGGAAAATAACTGATGATTTTTTTGACATGTGGTCATTCTATTAGCAATTATGCCATTAATGAATGGAAAAAAGGTCAGAAATTGAAAATAAAATCTTTGAGTGCCCTTTATGTAAACGTGAAATTAAATTAGAATCAACATTCAGTTTTCCAAAAATACAACACTAAAAGGTCTTTATAAAAAATTAAAACAAGCTGACTATTTCAATGAATTTTCAGAGGAGCAACCGTCAACAAATAACTTTTACGTAGCAGACGATGATTTATTTTTAAAATTTAATAAAGTAAAAATCTTTCATGACACTATAATTTTACAATTGCTTACTCCAATATTACAAAAAGTTCGTCCTAAAATTACTTTATCATCTTTTAATAGCTGAATTGCAAAAATATTATAGGGAGTTATACTGTAGGTAACTCAGGTTTTACAATCACCCCAAAAAGCTATTCAATTCGATGCAGAAGAGCATTTGCAACATACCATCTTAAAATGGATTCAAAAGCTATGGAACATTTGGAAACTGCAATTAAACAAAACCTCTAGCTTATATTTATAGTAGCAATATATTTAAAAGCATAAACAGATATCAAGAAGCACTTGCAGATTTAGATAAATCATTAGAATTTGAACAAAATAATGCACTTGCATTAAGAGATCATGGAGAAATAAACAGAATATTAAAAAGGTATCAAGAATCGCTTATAGACTTGAATAAATCAGTTAAAAATTAAAATTAATACAAAGGCATTAATAAATCGTGACATGACTTATCGTATGATAAGAAAGTATGAAGAATCAGTTAACGATTTAACTAAATCATTAAAAGTTAAACCAAATGATGTATAGGCATTAAAAAATAGAGGAATAACTTATCGCTTAATGCGCAAATACGACGAATCAATTGTTGATTTAAGTAAATCGTTAGAAATCGAAATTATACAGATACATTAAGAAATCGAGGAATGGTTTACTTCAAGATGACCAAATATGAAGAATCACTTACAGACTTAAGTAGATTATTGGAAATTGAGCTATATGATGCGGAGACATTAAAAAATCGAGGAATAACTTATTGTATGCTAGGAAGATATGAAGAATCACTTCATGATTTAGATAGATCATTAGAGACTGATCAATTTAATGCAGAAGCATTAAAAAATCGAGGAATAACCTATCGCTTAATGTGCAAATACGACAAATCAATTATTGATTTAAGTAAGTCGGTAGAAATCGAACCAAGTGACGAAGAAGCATTAGAAAATTATAAATGACCTATCAACTAAAAAGCATATATGAAAGATCACTTGCTGATTTAAGTAAATCATTAGAAATTGAAGCAAATAATGCATCGTTGATTTAAGTAGATCGTTAGAAATTGAACCATATTGAAAAATCTAGGAATAACTTATTGCATGATGAAAAAATATAATGAATCACTCGTTGATTTAAGCAGATCTTTAGATGCTGAGGCATTAAAGAACCGAGGAAAAACTTAACTCTTGATGTGCAGATATAAAGAGTCACTTGCTGATTTAACAAAAGAATGCTGAGGCACTAAAAAATTGAGGAATAACCCATCGCTTGATGTGCAGATATGAAGAGTCACTTTCGGAAATTATTTATAAATTTTTTCTTTTTTAATATTAAATTGTGATATAATACTTCTATTATAATCAATCGAAAATAATTAATTTTTGAAAAATTGATAAAATCGGTTGAGATAAGAATTATATAGTAATCAGAACATACCGTATTTTCGCGTAAGAACGCCCATGATCTTTATTTTTGAATTTTGGCCCGATTTAAGCTTAATTTAGGCCAAAATTAAAAACTTCGAATTACTATTTAATTATTACATGACATATACGTCAACCGTATGACGCATCCATTAAACTGAACCCGAAAATCAATAAAACTAATATAATTATCACGTCAAACCTATCTTCCCACCTTAAAGTCCATTTCTTTTTTACTGTTAAAGTTCTTTTTACCGTTAAATTTCATTTCTTCTTATAAATATAGTAAAACATCCATAAGTGCACGCTCTTGGGACCGAACTTTAACGCCATGCACTTAGAGAATAATAGAAAAAGTGCATTTATGAAGGTCATATATATATTTGGACTTGAATTTAAGTGTGCATTTAGAGAGGGTGTGCACTTATAGAGGGTGCACTTATGAAGGTTTCATTGTATATTTATAGTGACTCACGTTAAACATCTATCATAACTACATCATAAATTTAGGGTAGTGTAAAAAGTCGCCCAAATGAATATATCAAAATATCATTTTAACATCTAAACACATATGCTAAATGGTTTAAGAGTTAAGTTTATATGAATAATTCTAAAGAGTCTAATCAGCTATAATAAGCATGTAAATAATAAATGCTTATTATCATACGTTACTAAAATAATTAACCATACTATACTACCTTACACAAGACACATTTAAGAGGTCCGAAATAGATAATTTACGTTTCTCGAATTTTGTATGGTACCCTCATCCGAGATGAAATATTACAATTTTTTAATGTTATCGTTAGAATTGGCCTGTCGGACAACAGTCATAATCTTGAGAATTTAGTAGGTGACCTGTGAATACTACAATCACAAAGAATTATTAAATATTTGTACGTATTACGCTCGTTATATGTTGCTTTAGTTATTAATGGAGCGTAATTAACTGGAGAAAAAGATGGCAATAGTTTTCTACATACGATAATCAGGTTTTTTCTCTCATCCATTTTTCAAAATTAATTTACAATTAGAAGAGAATTTTTTGGCGCGTTTTATCTGGTATTCACAAGTTCTGTATTATGACTGATGTTTACACGAAAGTAGCAGAGAAAAAATGTTCATAATTATATTTCATTAAAAACACCAAGATGAAAGACAAATAAAATTTTAATTAAAAAAGTCAATATATCAAATATAAAAATATAATAGAATTATGTAATAACAAAGTCTTTCGGTTACCGTTACTCGATTGTTTTGATTTTCACGTCCATCCGATTTTGAAATCTAATTGGTCGACTCCATCAAATAGATACAATTTATTTATTATCGGATATGTTTACAAATCTATTTTTTTTTAATTCTAATTTCAATCTATTAAAGATTTAATGCATGAACGTAAATAGATTTTAATTGTACAGAAAAAAAATCAAATTGTTATAACCTTTTTAAAATACAGTAATGCTTTAAATGTTAAAAGGTAAAAATTCTCGAATTTGTTAAAAAAATAATAAAGAGAATGAAAAAAAATGATAGGTGATTAATGTTAAGAATATCTAATTTATGTTTAATCTGGAGAATATTTATAAATAATTTGATTTGAATTAAAACTAGAAAGTGCACATAAGGATTACTTCATCAGATATGGTCGAAAATTCACCTTTTCCTATAGGGATATTTGCTAATAATTTATTTAAATTATCATATATTACAATTTTTTAAAATACTTTGAATGAATAAAACGTTATATAATATTTTTTTTTCAGTGAATTAGTAATTTGATAAAAATATGTCGAATGTACAATGAAGTATATTGATATGTAATACAAGAATATGAATAGTATTAAAGCACACCAGTGTGCTTAACACCATATGTATTTTACGTTTTAAATTATGGTAAGTTAGAATTAAGGGTGCTGAAAATTTTTACGTAAAGTACTAGAAATCTAATTATTTAGTTTTTTGAGATATAAAAATTGTGGTGTTGATCACTGGCGTGGTTTATAAGATGCATTTAATTGAAAGATAAAATTATATAGAGTTTTTTCGAACATGATAAAGTTATACAATTACTTAATCGTCACCTGTAAGTTAAAATAAAATTCAAAGATTAATATGATTTTTTTTTTATTACAGTTACTAAATACAGTTATTGCTACTTACCAAAGAATTTATCTTCGGAAATAAAAAGATTTATTTGTTTCGAATCTAATTGAAGGAATAATTCATTAATAAAAAATATAATCCAAATTTACATAACAAATGATATATATTACCTGAAGTTGATTGATTTATTTTCGAATTTAATGGTCCTGAAATGTTTCTAAAATTAAGAAGTCTACTGGTGTATATAGCTCCAGAATGAGCCTGTGAAATTTCTGGTAAATCTGGAATTTTTGCATCAGATGCTTCAAATTTTGATTTGATTTCAAGAGCAGTTTTATTTTCCGCATCATCATGATCGAAATTAAATGAATCACACCATTTATTTAACTTTTTACTACATTCTTCTGCGGTCGGTCTTTTGGATGGGTCAGCATCCATACATTCTTTTGCTAATTGAATATATATATCGGGAGTTCCATCAGCAAATTCAGGGCGGAAACCAGTAGAAATGCGAACTGCAAGTTTTGTATCATGTGAAACATCTCCATAAGGGGGTTTTCCACTCGAAACTTCGGTCATAATAATTCCAAAGCTATAAATATCAGCAGCTTTTGTATACGGCTGCTCCATCAAAAAAACTTCAGGAGCAACATAAGGTAATACACCATAAACACCCCCGTCTTTAGTTGATTCACCAGCTGGTTGAGCTAATCCTAAATCCGAAATGCAAGAATAAATCCCATCGCCATATAGTAATATATTACCAGTATGAAGGTCTCGATGTGTATACCCTCCTTTATGAATTTCACTTAATTCGTGGGCTATTTTCCATAAAAGAAATAGTTTATCAGCCCATTTGATTTGTTTAAAATTTTTTGAAAGGTATTTACGAAGATCTTGGTTTTCCGCAAATTGTAAGACCATCATATAATCTCCTGTTGTAGGATTTTGAGTTAGTCCGTATAATTTAATGGTTGAATATTTATGATGGATTTTAATCTAAATAAAAATAAAAATTGAAAATTTCATAAGTATAATACTGTATGATCGAAAAATATATAGTATATAGTGTAAACAAATAATACATTATATTACCTCTTGTAAGAAATCTTTCGAGATATCCTGTGAATTTGACATATTTTTAAGTGCAACTTTTAATGGTTCCGAACGTTCATTTGCTTTTGATCCTCTTTTCCCATCTAGCCAAATAGCTGAATATACTGTGCTGAATCCACCCTGCCCGATCACTTCTTGATTTTCAAATCTATCAAACGGAATCCATTCAATCATATGTTCATATCGAGATGTTGATTGTAAAACACTTTTGAAAAAGTCGTCAATTGCTGGATTTCCTGAGCAAACTGAATTTTGGGGATCGCATGTTCGACACCATCTGACATGCGTGTTATAAGCTTGACACTTTGCACACTTTCCAAACATTTTTAAAATTTTTTCTCTCATCTGAAATTTTCATGCTCTTTAAGTTTAAAAAAAAAAAAAGCAGAACAAAGTTTTAAAGCCATGAATAATGTTTTAGTTCTAATAACGAAGCTCTAACATTTATTATTGTTTTAAATATATCGATAATATTAACGTTAATTGTACGAGTTACCCCTGAAAACAATATATGTATTACAGATGTCCAGTTAACTAAATATGGAAAATGTTAATCCACATGGATCGGATCCTTTGTTTAGATGACAAAAACTTCACTTATTAACCGTATCAAGGTTTTTTTCATGCAGATAATTTTCCCCATATTGAGGTTAAATGGACAGTTTAATGAAATCTTGACAAAGGTGATTTTCCTGTATCGAGGTTAAATGGACAAACATTCAACGTTATTTAAATTACTGTGTAATTAAAAAAATAAATTTTATTGTCCATTTATTAAGGTGTTCCATTGCGATAAAAGTGTTCCAACTTGTTACAGCCGTTTTCAAAAATTTGTGGAAAGGGACAAATCATTTTACCATAAAGAATTCGACTCGCACTTATTGGATTTGTGTAATTTTTACTATTAGAATTTCCACATTCACATGGGTATAAGGAAAATCGGTTTCCACATTTTTTGAAAACAGCTGTAATTTAATACCTTATACTTACATAGAAAATGCGTAATACGTAGATTTCCCCATGTATTAAGCATTGCCCGTTGCTTCTAAGACACCTTTACTTGATTCAATAAACTGTTACGTTAATCAGGTTCACAAATATGGTTGACTAAATATTGTATCAATTAAAGTAATGAGTTGAAGTTTCTTACTTTATTAATGAATTCAAATTGCGTATGTAGTAAATCAATGAACGGTATTAAACTTTTGACTTTGGCTTAGTAATAAAATAAAAACTCTAATTTTATAATGACATAAGCAACTATAATTTAACTTTAATAAACTCGTTAGATACCTTTATTAATGATAGAAATATTGCATAAATATAGACTAATAATTTAAATAACAATAAATTTAAAATCTGCTTACGTTACTAATAATGTTAAAATTTGCTGTTAAGTTAATAGTATTTTTTAAAAAAAAACAAATTATAGAAAGGTTTAATAAATTTAATCATCTTGTAATACTAATTTCATTTAATAATTCAAAAATAAATTCATATGCTTTAGCATAAATTCCTTTGGCATTGCTTTCCCGTGGTCCACCCACGTTTAAATGATTTATTTGTTGTGATCCATTTAACCAATTAACTACTTGTTGAATATTTTCTTGTAAATTTTCATTAAGAATGATTATTTTGAAAGGTTTTTGATATTCTTTAGCTTTATCTATTGTATATTGAGTTCCTTTATCTGCATTATTTTTTTCCAAAAGTAAAATTAATGTTGCTTCTGAATCTTTAATATTTAATTCTGTTCTTTCAGAATATTCAGCTGTTTTGGTTTCTTTAAGAGGATAATCTGTAGGAATTGGTCCATTTTCTGATTTCCTTCCTTTTGGACACCATCCAGTAATATCAATGATTTTATTATGTTCATTTAAATCTTTTTTAAGATTATTAAAATCTTTGGCAGCATCTAAAGTTCCTATATCAACACCACTTTGACCACCAGATCTAATAATAAAATTAAAATTTTGTGTCATTACAAAATTTGGTTGATATAATTGTAAATTTTAAGTTTCATAAATTGTATTTATTAATTATAAAAAAAAATCAAAGAAAGTTTTTTTAAGGATAAAAAAAAATCATTAAAATGAAAAAATTTTTTTTACGGAAAAAATTATTTCAATAAGAGTACATATTAGGAAATTTTTTGGTGGAATTATAATAAATGATTTGTTTTAATAAAAACAGACAAATACTTTGTAATGTTTATATATATAATTTTTAAATACAAATTCAAACTCCGAACTCCGACACGTTAAGTAGTACTAGACAAGATTAAATTACAAGTCTTTGTTTATAAATATACTTTGTTAGTGAAACTGCTGATCAGATACTAGACCTTATCATGACGATTTTGTTTATTTCGGCGTTTAAATTTACACTGTTGATAATAGCTAATCGTACAAATTGTTACAATGTTTTTTTTTGTTTCAATTTTAAAGTTAAAACGCTATAAAATTATAAGATAAACAACAATAAAAAACGAGTCGTACATTGATATAAACTGTCATAATTACAATTAATATAATGCTTTTGACAATATGTAAGAATCTTTTGATACATATTTGCATCATCTGTGTTTTTAAAATGAGTTTTGAAAATACGAAGAAAGCATACATACCTTCCTTTTTAAGCATATTAAAATTCTTGAAGATAGAAAATTAATTTAATTAAACGTAAAGGAATTTAATCCGAGTCCAAGGAACCATATTATTTCCAATAAAGTTTCGGATCGACGATCCCATTACTATTCAGCCTCTTGCATAGCCTAACATGCATAAACCAAAAAAACGAGTGTGCCTTGAGTCGGGTACATCCACGTGACTCAAACCAATAAGAATATAGTACGTACGTATATATAACCAATCAGTACTAAAAATACCAATTTTGCTTTAGACGTTTCCCAAAAAAGAATACCTGACTTTTATCATATGATTGGATTCATATTAAATTGAACCTTAAATTAAGACTGGTAATATAACATACGTACGTACATAAAAATGTAAAATAAAAATGTAAAATTAGAGCCAATTCTAAGATTCCAAGATATTATAATGTTAGGTGGTTTGACCGAAACTAGTTTGGCCTGACTTGGAATCCAGACTCTTATCGTTATAATTAACCGAATTGGCTAAATTAGTTAGTTTTTTTACGTAGCAAGGATTAAATTTTTTAGAAATCATTTGGGTGAATGTACATCAAACCCATCTTAGAGTATATTCATATGTTACTTTAAATACGGAAATACAAGATTTGAGTTTATTTGTAATCGTTTCAATATGTATATATAGTTTCAAGTGCTTTATGATATTAATATTAGACTAAATTTAATCTTATACTTTTAAGTGTATATCATTTGCTCATAAGAATAATAAAATCATGTACGTATATCCATTCTGTCCATCATCACCAAACTTTAAAAATACATCCATCTTGAATTGTAACATAAACTCCTAATTCTTCATGATCCGTCGTTTTAGATACCTCAAACTGATAAATAGCATTAACACATATAATGGCTAGTCAGTTATTATATTGTAAAAAGGTTTAACATCATTTTGAACTTAAAAGAATTATTGTTAGGATTGTTACATTCAAACTACCTATTGTAAGTTTAGGGATAAACAACTTATTCTAGCGATGGGTATTGTATGTGATTGATGACAATTGCAGTATTATGCTGAAATAAAATATATGTATATTTGCTTTTATGAATGAGGCAACGGCTAAATGTACACGGCGACAAATAGTTGTGTTAATAAAAGCTTTCTCTTTATATGATTAATATACTCGAGAAACTAGTGTTAGACAAGATTAATTTACAAGTTATCTTCATAAGCATGAAACTGATAATTACATTTACATAGTTGGATGTGCACTTTTTTTATTTTCAAATTTTAAACGTCATAAAATGAACAATAATAAAAAATATCATAGTTACAATCCTTTAACAATATGTATGAATCTTCTGATACATATTTACATCAATTGCATTTCTAATTGCGTTTTAAAATCCGAAGAAAACATATACATCTTCCTTTTTCAGCATTTTAAAATTCTTACAGGTAGAAAATTTAATTAACGTAAAGGAATCAACCAGAATCCAAACCATATTATTCAGATATTGTCGCATCTGAAGTAGCGATTTATCTAAAGTAACCACTTTATATATTTAAAGTAGCGCCTTGGCTAAAATTATAACCTAATGCATACATAAAGATCTAATTTCAGGGGCTTAATTTTAGCAAGGTACTACTTTAGATAAATCGCTATAGAGATCTTAGCATCTGACCACGTGATCTAAATTATAAATGATTGGTTATTATAATGTTGTGATTGCTATATCGATATGGTTGACGACCCATTCATTACTATTCAGCATTTTGCATACCTGACGAAAAATTGCTGCTAAGAATCGAATTATTATAGATTACTTATTATTACCTATTTCACGGGAATATTAAATAATATTAAGTAATAATATGTAACTAACTTTGCCCATCTCTACATCTCACCGACTAGTTTTTTTAAAAGTTACAGATATTAACTTTAATTCTAACTGCCCCTAACGAAAATGACCAGGATTACTTTGTCGGTGAAATAAGTGATTGTCGGCGAAATGAGCACCACCAAATTTATATGATCGAAGTCTGGTTTTCGTTTGGCTCAATTAAACCCTAGAAAAATATAAAGCGATTACATTTTTGCTTTAGACATTTTCCCAAAAAAAGAAAATATATATTTCAATACGGGCAATTTGAATTAATGATGGTATGTTTTAGTTATCCTTGGATCTGAATCTATATTGGTATCAGCTACTTGCATAAAAGTTTTTTTTATAAAACACGTGTAATAACGTATGACATAATTTCACAAATTTGATTCACTTAATTAATACCAGTTGATGCAGAAAGAATACATTATGTTTCCAAATTTTCATTACAGTAATATTCAGAAATACATGAGCTTATTTAATTATCTGAAATTGTAAATTTTAACTAGAATAAGTTATTTTTAATCGATCAATTGTGCCTTCATAAAAAAGATTTTAAATAGAAAAAAAATGATCTACTGGTTTATCAAATTTACTATCTGTTAAAGTTAATAGAATTATTGCTGTTATTGTGTTTTTATGACTGTAAAATTTTCGGAATTTACTCAAATTCTAATTGAAATTTTTATTTGCATTTTGAACATCCCTATAATTATTAGCAAACCAAGTAATGGAAATGCTTGAACCTATCTCAAGAATGTTATCATTCGTTTTATTGATTTTTATTTAAAATGTTAAAATTGCTGTACACTATTTCGATCATGCATCTAGGCTGGTGTAACGTGAAAATTTTGCATATTCCATATATTAATAAACTAGATAGCCGTCATGCGAAACCAGGAACGGAACTTTCTGTATTTGCTTAAATGTTAAAGAAATAATGTTCTTTTAAAATTTAAATGCTTTATACTTGTTTATTTTTAACTAAAGTTCCAAAATAATGACCATTTTGACTTGCAAAGTTGTCTTATCAGTCACCCAATTTGTCGCATAATATTGCATATAAATTTTATATATATATAAAACATATAAAATTACTATGAACTTTGCAGGTTTAATGTTTTTCAACCTACATATAATCTTAAAATTAAATTTTGCGATTATATAGAGCATGAAAAGAAGAAATTTTTGTTCTATTTATCAAATTACAGTTCTGCCATTATTACATATTTTGTAAAGGCAACTTCGTCAAAAATAAAATTTGTCGATTTTAAAATGATGATTACATGTAAAATTATGCTCTGAACAACTTAGAAAATAGAAAGGGAATTTACAGAAACGAAAATAATTACAAATAAAGGCCCAAAATGAAAATAATTACAGATAGAGACCCGATATTTGAAAATTATTACAAATAGTCCAAATATATCGTAAAATTGTTAGTCGATTTAATCATGGTTAATTGTCTTATTTCGTGATTAAATAGGTGTTTTAGAGTTATCGTTCATTCTTTAGAATTACAGTCTAATACATATAAAATTTAACTTTCTATAAACATAAAATTCTTGAAACTAAGAGTGTGATTATAGAGTTTGACTGTAAGAAAAAAAAAACAAAAAAAATTCCGACCGACTGACTGAATTTTTGAAATCCATGTGATGCAAAATGAAAAATTAGCTTGTATTGCCTAACGTGTTTACTTCTCCAAGCTACGTCTCAGTCTCCACTTTAAGAACGAACACAATTTTCAATATCACAAGGTCGAAGTATTGCTATATCTAGTGCTTTGAATGTATTCATAAAAGTTGATAAGTTAGATCGTGAGAAATTGGCCTTACTCTATGAATGTAGTCACATTTACGCTTGCTAGCTGAAATAGTAAAAGAGCATGAACTGGTTTCATTTATAAAACAAATAGCTAACAGCTTACTTGGTTTGTTCATTCTTATCTTAGAGTTCAACAGAATAACAGTTTATTCGGTTTGTTCATTCTTAACATGGAAATTCAACAGAATAACTGTTCAAGACCGAATGAACATTTTCCAAGTTTGTAAAAACATATTTATCTGCAACTTTGTATCTAACAATTATAAACAGGTTTTAAGAAATATATAAAAGAATTTTAACAAAATAAATTTACAGCGTGAATAATGGGTTGATAAATTGAATGTACCTTTTTATTGTGCATTGGAATTTATATTTGAATTACTAATTGAATGGGGTTAAATCATTTTAAACTTTAATATCATTTTTTATTTAGTAAAAAGTTTGCAAAAATGCATTCTACTATATATATATATATATATAACATTTTATATCAAACAACTTTATTCAAAAGGTATCCTAGTAAAAAAAACAATTACACATAAAAAAACTAAAGTTTAATATTAATATATAACTAACTTATTTTCTACTAAGGTAATCTGATTTCATTTTTTAAGTAATATTATTTAGAGCATACTTTTATATATAGCATTATAGGCA